CTGCAATCCAACTAAATCGATCTGTGCTCCGCAAATCGGCATTCCGGACGACATATACAGATTACAAATCGATTGAAATGGTACATAATCGATTGGATTTTAGTACAAAAACGGCATGGATGCGTCCATGCAGGCATCGATTCAGTCTGCCTGTCTGTGACGTCATCAGTACGCAGCGGCAGCCGCGCGAAACTACACTAGAACAACAACAAAACACAGCGTGGAGGAGACGACTGCGAGCAAGACATTTACAAACCAACTTATCGATCCAGCTTGTGGAAACATTTTGGCTTTTGCAAACACGGAGGTGTTCTAAATAAGTCGCTCGCTGTTTGTAGAATATGTAGAAGCCAAATAAAAAACCATGGAAACACGACGAATCTTTCCGGCCATCTATTAAGGCGCCGTGGGATTAAACAACGCCGACAGTCAGGACCTCTAGCAGCGTTACCGCTGCAGCAGCAGCAGCAGGTAACTCCAGCTCTGCAGACACCTCAGGCCTCGCCAGCACAAAACTCAACATCACAGTAACAATTGCCAAAACAAAAGTTTATCTGTAAAGACATGCGACCCTACAATGTGGTTGAAAATCCGGGGTTCTGTGAATTGAGCCAAACATTGTGTAATTATTGTGTAATGTTTGCATTGAAAATGGCACTTGATTCAAATAAAAGGTTAATACATTTGCCATAAATTGTTGTTTGCTTGTTTATAATATCCATAATTAATTTAAACCTGATTTCCTTACAAGAAACAACAGTGATCTCAGAAACTTTGCCTGCACTGTCCAGTAAAGTTACAGAATCGATTTCAAGTCACTGAATCGAATCGTTCTAAATCAACCCAGATCGTCCATGAATCGAATCGGCAACCATGAATCGTGATTCGAATCGAATCGTTGTTCAAATGAATCGTTACACCCCTACTTAAAGGGTATTTTTTATTTTAAACCAGAGGTTTTCATGTCACGTGACTAAATGACGTCACCAAATCATCCTTTATTTTGCCCGTTGTATTTACTAAGCTGCTTTGTGAAGCTGAACACCTTCTGCAGGACTACAAAACGTCCTTCGATAAGGTAAGAGAAATATGTGTTTTCCTATGGAAGCCCATTTCCGCTACTGAAAAAAAGGGTTAGAATGTCGAAATTATGAATTAAGACATGCGCATGCGCGGGCTCCTTGCAACTGGTTGTTGACGTCACTATGGTCACAGAGGTGGGGTTGGTGTTTTAACAACGTCTCGCTGATGAGCTATTGAACGAACCGGGAAGTCAGAATCTGTTAATATCTTGCCAACTTTACCGAACTGTAAAAGTTCGGACACGGCACGCACTCACTCCACACCTCAAAACAAACAGGGCGGGACAGGGACGTCTGACATAGAGGTCCGCTTTTAGCGTAGTCTAAATTATCTTCGGTATTTCAGAATCCTAGATAAATCAACTTATTGGGAGATAAAATAGGTTCTGGGTAGTGTCGTGTGAGCAAAACAAGGACTATACTGGAGACTTAAATCAAAGCAATATGACAAAGTTTATTTGCAACAAGAGTATTCTGTCCTGCAGTTTAACGTGCATGGACCTATTTCAGGCAGTTCAACAACAACATGAAAAAAGGCGCTTAATACAAAATGCGCTCGAATTATATATATATATATATAATATATATATATATATATATATATATATATATATATATATATATATATTCATAGATGCTGAATTGTTTGAATAAGATGTTCTTATAATGTTAAACTATTGGTATACATGTTAAATAAATGTATGTTAAATATTTAACTGCAAAGAAATGGTACCCGTATTTGGTACCCTTTTTTTGCATTAAATCCTACTGGGATGTTTTCTGAAACGGATTGGCTGGCCCTACCAAAAAAAAATCCACTAGCCTCCACTGGTGCTGACTAAAGATAAATAAATCCATTTGAAACCAACACATGCCTGAGACCCTTAATGCATTATATTAAATTATATTCATATATTGTAGCGACCCTGTTCAGCAGTGTGTTCTGTCAGAAGAACAGTGTTTTACACTGAAATAATCCTATTGGACACAGTGGTTTGTATGAACCCTCACCCAACTCACACCCCTGAACGTTTTCCTGAAATCAACACAAAAGAGCAATTCACAAACCATAACATTAGAACAAGCTGACGCTTTTATCTAAATCAACTTACAACAAGTGTATTCAACCAAGAGGGACAGAAGCATGAACTGGTACTGGGTAGAGATCTCTGATTCAGTCATTTAGCTCATCATAAGCTTATTATTAACTATGTTGTAAAACAAAAGTGACTTTGCCCTCTCTTCTGTACCGTTGGAGGATATGGAAAGTTAAGAAAGATCACACATGTGGCTTGCATACTATTGTTGTAATTGCATGTTTATTATTTACAAAAGCAGTTGGACAGGATCGTGTACCTGTCCTGTGCAGGTGTGTTACTGAGGTTGCAGAAAGGCGACCTCTGGACTGACTTGACTATTCATGGTTACATAAGTGTAACAGGGGCACTTTTATCTGTTGAAAAACAGAATTGCAGCAATGCTGGAAGTGGCTAGTTGTAACTGGATGAACCGGCTCCCAATTTGCTGTGTCAGCACCGGACCTACAGGCCTGCATACAGTATGACTGTGTATTTGCAAAATGTAAGAGCTACTCATCGGTCTCACTCCCTATATATATTGAATTTCCTTGCCTACCAACCCTTTGTGTACTCTACATGGGGTAATATTTGAGTAACTTTACTCCGTAAGTCAAACAAGTAAAAACATAGAGGAACAGGCCCAAAGCCCACATGGAATGATTTCTGACCCTTCTTTTTTTTTTCTTTAGAGTTGGACTTCAGATAATTGCATCTGTGTTATTTTCCCTATTGAAAGATTGTCAGGGACTATTTTCTTGTCATGCTCCTTTACCAGTTCCATTTCCTCTCACACTAGCACAGACCTTGACCTTAGCAGTGTCCCAAACCTCGTATAATCTCGCGGCTTTACAATGATCAAGCTCCTTCTGTAGCATGTATTCTTAGCACCAAGCAGGAATTACCCAGTGCACAAACCCTGAGTTTCTGCAACTCCCCTTCACACGAAATGGGCGTTCCCGCATATTGAGAGTGAGCTTATGAATGTGCATGCTGTGACTCAGAGCTAAATGTAGGGAAGATGTCGACCAACGTGGACTATGACTGCATAGTGATCGGGGCCGGAGTCCAGGGCTCCTTCACTGCCTATCAACTGGCAAAAAAGAACCAGAGGACTCTGCTACTGGAACAGGTGTGTCACACAGGGAACATAGCTCCATAACAATTGTTTAAAAAAATCTCAGCTGCAAAAGGCTGTGGGAGAGAAGTTTTCAGTTCAGTTCAGGGGGTGCTTTACGTCCTAAAACTCAGACACAGGTGTTTGAACAATTGTGTTTACACATGAGTGATGTAACTATTCATTCGGGGGTAGAAACCTTCCTACTCAGAAGTGCTTTTTCTTTGCTGAATTCTAAATTCAGAACATGTGTGACTTATAATTTTAGCTGTTGTTCACAGAGCTGCAGTCTGCTTGCATGGCACTATCTACACCTTCACCAAACAACGTTCTTTTGTTATCGTAATTGAATTTATTTTGAAACTGCCTGGATTTATTTTGTTAATTTATTACAAGTTGTGATTTATCTCAATTCTGTCTGAAACAATAAACCATGTGCAGAATCTAAACCTGCATACCAGTCACTTCTTTTTTAGAGAATAACAGGGTTCTTGGACCCAATGATATAGGAGCTTTTTTTATGTCAGATCAGATCAGTCTCAATAATTGCAAATGCTTACAGGCGACTCTCAAATGCACACGGAACAATTCACAAATGTATTAAATTTACAAATGCACACAAAACGATTTGCAAATACATTTCAATGCACAAATTAATAAATTACGATTTATATTTGCGGATCACACTGCATTTATTTGCGGATTACGAATCATATTTTCGGATCACACTGCATTTACTTGCGGATCGCTTCACATTTGTGTGTGGGTTTTTTGAGACCCGGCTGACGTCGCAGATCCACAAATTTTTCAACATGGACCTGTCTATAGCCAATCAGATGTCGCCCTCATTAACCAACACTCTTGAAACATTTCAGCTTAAACACTCCTCATTCTCTTCCCTTTTGTTTTGTTTTTTTAAACACATTTGAATGAGAGATCAGTCATTGAATCTGGCAGGGCGTCTGACCACTCTGCCACTCCTCGTGTAGCATGTGGGTGTACCGCTCGTAGTCACAGGAGGAGGGTTCTGTGGTGGCAGGTCACTTCAGGATATTTGGTCAGGTAATCGACTAACAACAGATATGACTGACCATGTAGCTCGAAGATGTCGGCTCCGACTTTCATCCATGGCAGTTCTAGAATCTGATGTGGTATGAGTGGCTCAGCCTGATGTTTGGGCTGTAGCTGCTGGCACTCCATGTACTTCTCCACCATTGCCTCGATGTCTCGTGCCATGCCAGGCCAGTAGAGGGATTTTCTTGCTTTGGCTTTTGTGCGCTGCACTCCTTGGTGAGCAAAATGCCGCTTCTCCAGAATCATACTCCTGAAGCTCTGGGGTATGATGATTTTGTCTCCGACCATGACGATGTCATTCTCAATGCTTATATTGTCCTTGACAGATCAGTAGCCGTGTAGCTTCCTGTCCACACTCTTCTTTTTCGTGGGCCAGCATTCTTGTGTTTCTCACACACAGCTTGTAACACGCTATCTGCTGCCGTTGCCTTTTTCAGTTGGTTGAGTGTTTCCTCGCTCAAGGAATCAGTGGCCTCCAAGGCATACACAACTCTCTCGTCACAGGGGTTCTCTTTGATGTTTTCACCTTCTCTGCTTGCAGTGGCACGTGAGAGTGTGTCGGCGATGTGCATGTGCTTGCCTGGTGTGTATGTTATGTGCAGATCATACCTCTGCAGTTGTAGAAGCATTCCTTGCAGCCGTGCAGGTGCTTTGCTCGGCGGCTTGCGCATGATGACCTCCAGAGGCTTGTGATCGGACTGCACAGTTACTGGTCTTCCATAGACATACTGGTGGAATCTCTTAGCGGCAAACACTATGGCCAGCAACTCTTTCTCTATCTGCGCGTACCTCTTTTCTGTGTCGGTGAGTGCTCGTGAGGCATAGCACACTGGGCGGCCATCCTGCAGCAGACAGGCTCCCAGTCCGTCTTTTGAGGATTCAGCGGCTGTTTGTGATCGTAGTACCTCAGCCCTGGGGCTTATGTGAGGGTGGACTTCAGTGTCTGTAGTGCTGAGTCGTGGTGTGGGCACCACTGCCAAGCTACATCTTTCTTAAGCAGCTGTCTGAGGGGTGCTGTGAGTGAGGCTTAATTCGGTATGTACTGTGCGAGGAATTTTGTCATTCCCAGCAGTCTTGCGGTGTAGGAATGGAATAGTGCTGACGCTTAACTGCCTAATTCAGGTTGCAAGGATCCAAACACATTCTTAGCGCACCGTTCTTTTTCTTTGTGACATCACTTTTCTGTTCTGTAAGTCTTTGAGTGTCTCTCTCAGTGAATCCATGATGGAGAGGGGCACATTTCGGCATGCATGAATCACAGGCGTGACGCTGGGGTCAATGTGTATGTGATGAACACCGGGGACTCGCCCAATCCTGTGAAGACCTCTGCATACCTCTGTAGCATCTCCTCTTTGGTAGCTGGAGCTTTTCCTGGTTGCGGGGATCTTGCTGTGAGTGCCTCAACTCTTCTCACCAGCTGCAGCTCCTCACATGCATCTCCACCCAGAATCGGCTTGTCGGCTCGGCTTGACACATGAAAGTCCAGCATAGCTTTATGTTTGGTCGTCCTGCATTCTAGAGATTCAACACCATCTGTGGGCAGGCGGGCTCCACCAAATGCAATTAGTACAGTCTCTGTGGGCCGTAGCTGAATGGGACCTGGTAACTTCCAGAACATGTGCATGGTAAGCACATTTGCATCGGCGCCTGTGTCCAGCTTGAAGTTAATTGCTACGCCTCTGACTGTGGCTGTTTCATGCCATACAGTGCCGTTAGCTTGGTGAGCTGTTTTCCTTTCGCACTTTCCAACCATGCCTATGTATAAGGAGTCAACTTCACTCTCCAAAGTATTTGTCTTTGTCTAGTAGCTGCTGCTTTTCTCAGTGCTAGCTCAACATACCTTAGAAAAATGGTGGTTCTTACCACATTTATGGCCCACTGCACCATAAGCTGGGCACTGATGGGGTTGCTTGTTTCCACATTTATGGAAGACAGTCGTTACGTGCCTCTTGCTGCTGGTTTTGCTCTTGTTCCAGCTGCCCGTGCACGTTTTCCCTTTTGCTTTCCTTAAAGCATCTACTGAGGTGTCTTGGACAACCTGTGACGTCTGCATTGCTTGTATTTGGGACTTAGCGAGCTCTGCTGATCTGCACGTTTCCATGGCTCCGCGCAAAGTGAGCGCATTATCACGCAACAGCCTCTCCATCAGGCGAATATCGTTTATGCTAAACGCTAATTTATCCCTAATCATGTCATCTTCATTTCTGCCAAACTCAGTCTTTGCTCTTCAGGCGTAGCTCTGTGACGAATCTGTCCACCGATATTCCTGCTGACATCACGTGTGACCAGAATTGATGGCGTTCGAAAACCACGTTCTTTCGAGGGCTGCAGTAGTCCGTGAAGGCTTGGAGAACATCCTCCATTGTTTCTTCATCTCCTTCTGGGATGATGGTGACCGTGTTATACACTTCTAGCGCCTCCTCGCCGACAGTATGGAACAGAATGGCTATTTTAACCGTCTCTTCCTTATCCAACGCACCTGAAGCGGTCATATACAGCTGGAAACGTTGTTCCCATCTTCTCCAGTTTTCAGCTATATTCCCGGTAAGTATCAACGGTGGTGGCGGCTTGAACTGCTCCATGTTCGCACGTGCTAGCACTTTTTTTTTAGCTAACTTTTAAAATACCGTCCTCGAATTATTCCGTGACTCCGTCTTCTGACACCATGTTGTGGCTTTATGCTACATGTATAATCACTGTTATAGTCATGTACCATACGTGGGTTATCGTAATCGATACAAATGCACGGAGACGAGGATGCAGTACATTTACTGTAATTTACTGGCGCTCGAATCACGCCCCTGTCAGGCATGAACAATCACAGAACTCCGTCGTAGTGACAGTCAAACACAATTGAGCACAGAGTGCTCGATCCAATATACCACACTCTGCAAAAAATATGATTTGACGGATGAGGACAGAGGAAAGAGAGGCGACTCTAGCAGTGTGGAGTTGTTCTGAGACCGCAAGAAGAGCAGTCCCTGTGGAATGGCCTGCCTTGAAGCCTGATTGGTGGGGGTCAAGGAGGTTGTTACAGTGGAGAGTTGGTTAAAGATCGCACGTTCAAGAGTTTTGGACAAAAAGGGAAGAAGAGAGCCGGTCTGTAGTTGTTTTCTTCAGAAGGGTTGAGGGTAGGTTTCTTCAGGAGTGGGTTAACTCTTGCCTCCTTCAGAGAATTGGGAAAACAGCCAGATAACTGAGTATTGTTGATGAGACAGGTGAGAAAAGGAAGAAGGTCAGGAGCGATGCACTGTAGAACATGTGATGGAATGGGGTCAAGAGGGCAAGTGGTCGGACGGGCAGAGGTTACTAGGGTAAGAATTTGGTTAGGACTGTCTGGATGTTGAAGTCACCCAGGAGGATGAGCGGAGGGCCATTTTCAGGGAAATTGGAATTTTTGTAAGTAAAAGAAGTATGTTTTGAAGAATATGTTTAACCTAATTCTGGAGCGCCATTCATACAGAGTCTCAGCCTAGTCGCCAATCGGACCCCGCCGAGATGGCAACCGGACCCGAAACAAGTCGTTTTTCGTTTGTGGCGCATGCTGGCCCTGGTTATATACCGGAATTGGGACAGTGTATTCGGTCCGATTCTGGGGCGTCATTCGTTACGAGTCTCAGCCGAGTTGGCAACCAGATGCGGGCCAACGCCTTTCTTTTGTAGTGCCGGGGTCGGGCCGATGCAGGCCCAGTTTTTTTAAGATTATGGCTCAAGCCGGATCTGGGCCAAGTCATTTTGGCTATCCGGGGTGAGGCGAGAAAGCACAAATTCCCTGTGGAAGATGTGATTTAATGATGTGTGAATTATAAAAGAAGAAGAGAGAGGGAGAGGGAGGAGCCTAGGTTTAGGCCCATATAGCTGCTTATCTAAGAGATTGTCCAGGCTAACCTGAGCCAGCCCTAACTATAAGCGTTATCAAAGGAGGAAAAGTTCTAAATCTAGCAATATAGTTGCTAAGTTGGCAACACTGCTTCAACCACCTGTCATTAAAATAAATTTGAGTGTGTTATCAATAACGTAACGCCACTAATTAGAGGATATTCATTTAAAGGTCTTCAGTCTACATGTAGAAGTGTCCTTAGGAAAGATACTGAACCTCAAAATGCTTCTGTGCCATTGGTGTGTGAATGAGCATGTTAATTATTACCCGATGAGCAGGCTATGGCTGTGAATCTTTCAGTATTTCACAATGCAATTTCTGTTTCTTGAGGTCATGATTAGATTCAAAATCACTTGTTTGCTGAGTTGTTTCTGGACATATCTTGCAATTTACTGGTTTTGAACTGCATTTTTATAGCGCCTTTCCAGTCAATATACAGGAGAAAAAAAACTACTTTTTTAAGCACTACTTTGGCTGTCTGCCTTGAGTGCAATGAATCCACAGCCACAGGAGTCACACAAAGTCACTTTCCATAATTGAGAAATGTATTGTTGATCAAGCTTAACAAGGAATAATTTAGCAACAACAGTAATGATGGCAGATAACTAAGCTGTAGAAAGAGAAACACTGTGTCCTGACTAATCTCTACACATCATTACTAGATTCACGTAGAATCTGTAGACAACGGGTCAAGATCAATACCATCTGACAATGTTTCATTTTTTTATTGGTTTAAAATTAACTTGAAAACAAGCTACTCGTCAAACAACTTAGTTGTACAAGACATCTCTGAATTCAAACTCCAGTCGCACATCTCAAATTGTTCAACTGACCAATGAATGAGCAGCACACAAAAAAGGATGTTTTGGTCTGGAGCGCCAGAAATACAGCCTTTGACCCTTGGAGTAGACGGTATTGTTCGGTGTGGAAAAATGACACTTAAGCCTAGTTTATGCTTCTGCGTTTTCAGAGCGACGCAGACGCAAGACCCCCTTGCGTGTCCCTTTTCACACCTCCTTGCGTGCATCAACCCATTTTTCTAGACTTGCATCGCTTTCGACGCAAGTGACGCAAGCCTCCCGCAGCGCACAAGGCCGCGATTGGTCTGCTAACTACATCCTTTATGGAGTCTCATATTTCCGTTTTCATAGCACAATACCACCATTATTAAAACGAAGAATGTTTAAGAGAGAACGGATCAGATAGAAGAACTTTTGTCGGAAGAAATGCGTAAATATGACCGCTTATACAAGCCATCATTGGCGGGTTGTAGAAGCGGGTTGGATTAATGGAGGGAGATCGCCGCAAACGCCGGTTTACCGGTCGAGAGGTGCACAAAGTTGTGGAGGAAAATACGGGACAAATGTGTCCGAGATGAAAAGCAACAGTGGCGATGCACGGGGCAATAAAGTCTATGATAAATAAATAAACAAACCAACGACTTCCACACACAAAGACGTGACTCTCTAGGTTGTCTTCAACAAAAACACGTTACTCCACCTGTTGTTCTGGAGGCGAATTGGTCTGCAACATACGCAAGACTTTAGAACCATGAATTGAAACGAGTGCGTCGACTCAACGACGCAGAAGCATGCGCCAGCCTTCACTACCAGTTATGTGGTGTGCATATTCGTCTTGACATTTCAATCCGGAGAATGTTTGAAATTTGTTGAAATTTGAGCAATGCTTTATTATAACAGGTATAATATGATATTGCAAGTTGTTTGGGGCTTGGACTCCATCCTGCCGCAGGACAGACCCGGGGCCGGGATCTCGAGCCGAGACGAGGCATATCCCCCCCTTGGGAGTCCAGACACTGGTGGTGGTGGTGGTAGAGCCCAAGTTGCATAACTCTCCAGCTATGCCAGGTTCTGCTGTAGATTGGAGGTGTCAGGGGTGGTGGCGGGTCACCTTTGGAGCGTGCTGAAATGACAACTGACAGCAAAAGAGAGGAGAACAGTTTTTTAACGTTGCCTGCCCCAATGCGATTGGTTTACGGTAACGACACCCACGTCTGATACTACTCGACCCCGCCCCTAATCAGCTGGCCGTGCGCCCCCAGGGAGAGAGGAGGCCACCAGGGAACGGCACAGCCTGTCCAGTCTTCCTGACTGAATTTTCGCCTAAGCTTCATTTTGAAGTTTGAGAAATAAGATAAAAGCATCAGCTAAATTACCTGTAATGTAACAGTTTTATTACCATACGTTGAACTCTCATATAGGTCAAATGTTTAGATGCTCTTTTGTTTGGATACTCAATTAATTTCTCCATTTGGTGGATTCTATTCCCAAATCAGTCTTTTAGTTTGACTTTTGACCCGTGATAATATGTTCATCCTTTCAGTTTGTCCTGCCCCACACCCGAGGAAGCTCCCATGGCCAGACCCGCATCATCCGCAAGGCCTACCAGCAGGATTTCTACACCCACATGATGGAAGAATGCTATGAGCTGTGGGCCCAGCTGGAGAGAGAGGCGGGTGTAAAGCTGTACAGGTAAGCAGTCAGCAGAAACACACAGAGAGAAAATACATTACACAGAACATAACAAAAGCTGTGCCAGATCACAAGGATTTGTTACATTCCAGGTGCTATGTACGCAAGCAGCAACTCAATGCAGGAGCCATAAATGCAGGACTTTTTCATTACCTCTGGCATCACTGAATCACCTCTTGACAGCTCCCCTACAGTACCTTTGAATCTAGAACAGGGGCTGACTGGCTCAATGCTGTGGAGACAGTTCTGGCTATATGTAAGTCTGCCCCTCCTCAGAGGACAGCTGTTGTCCCCAAAGTAGATGTGAGAAGAATCAGGCTGAGGGTGTGAACATCTATCCATCTCCAAAGCCACTTATCCTTCATACAGGGTTGCCGGGGGGTTGTCAATCCCAGCCAACATTGGGCGAGAGACGCGGTACACCCTGGATTGGTTGCCAGTCAATTGCAGGGCTGACACAGAGACACACAACGATTTACACTCACATTCACACACTTACAGGCAATTTGGAATCACCAATTAACCTAAACCCCAGACACAGGGAGAATATGCAGACTCCACACAGAAAGGCCACGCTGTGGAGTCGAACCCAGGACATAATCGTGTTTACAGAGAGTGAACATGATTAACTAGAAAATGCATTTCCTGCTGAAAATGCGTTGGAATGCAAAAAGCTGAAAGCTGAGATGAACTTCAGAAAATTGCTGAAATTACAGAAAGTTGAAGGGAATTTTAATACATTTACTTAAATTACAGATATTAGAAAAGCTGAAATTAATTTGAAATTGCTGAAAAAGCAGAAATAAAAACAGCTGAAATTAATTTGAAAAGTTGCAAAAAAATACAGAAATTAATATTTAAACATTGCTGTTAATACAGGCAAAAGAGCTGAAATTATTTTAAAGAACTGGAAATACAAAAAAGAGAGAAGCTGCCACAGTCAGTGCCACAAAGGCAATCAAAGACAGCCTCGCTAGCTTTCTAAAGACATGAGAGATTTTCTCTGGCCACTTGTCATCAGTTTGGTACTGTTATTGATGGTGCAATGCTAGCTAGTGCCATGTTAGCGCTATGCTAGCTAGCGCCATGTTCCCTCCCACGTAGGTCTGTGTGTCTGTCAGACTATGTAGGGGAGGGAGAGTGAGTGCTGGCACGCTGTTTTAGCCACTTGTCAGACGTTTGGATCAGTTATTGCTGGTGAAACGCTAGCTAGCGCCATGTTAGCTAGCATAGCATCATGTTAGCGCTATGCTAGCTAGCACCGTATTAGCTAGCACCGTGTTAGCTAGCGCCTGTTCTCCCCACGTAGGTCTGTGTGTCTGTCAGACTACGTAGAGGAGGGAGAGTGAGTGCTGTCAACGAGGCTGTGTGGTCGTCATGGAGACGGCACAGCTGCTGTTTTCGCGCTGATCACAGACCGCACAGAGTAAACGGATTTTACCAAGAAACCACACCTGAAACAAGTGTCCTCTAGCGCAAAACTATAACCGCTATCTAAAAAATAAGAAGTTTGTACGAGACCCAAGACTCTACCGAACTGTATGTCTGTCCGGTAATAAATACGGCTCCTGTCGCAGTTTACAAAATGTGTACCTTCTGGATTTTTTGAGAAATATGTCGGCAGATTTGTATTGGAGCCTATGGGGCTTTTGGCAGAGGTTGTGTCACTGTAACACGCCTGAAGCCAACATTTAAGAACTCTGGGATTCCATGAACACATAATCCAATCAGCACAACCATGCCATCATTAATCCAAAGAAATGAAGCCTCAAAGGTGTGTACTTTGGCTGGAAGGAACAAAGTTCCATAATTTTTAAACCAGATTCTGACGCTGCCCCACACTCTAGCACTCGAGGTCTCCCTCTAAGAAACGCAATACACACTCATGTAAAACTCAGAAACGGAGCGAAGAACTAGTAAAACATAATCAGTGATTATGAAAAAAGTAGAATAGATATAAACAAGCAGTGTTTTTTTTTATAAAATAGTTGAGACTTGTGTCAACATTTGAACGTTGAAATGGTGTCTGTAGCTGAAAGATTGGCGAAGCTGAAAAATCTGAAAGTTGAAGTTTAAGAGGATTTGAAAACGATCTCCATTGGAAAACCATGTTAAAATATTCATGATTACTGATTTATATAAATTCAAGCATAAGAGGTAGAACTACAACTGATACTTCTACTACCTTACTACTAGTAGTTCTACTGCTATTAATACTACAACTACTACTAATGTTATTACAAATACTACTATGGCTAATAGTATTAGTATTACAGCTGTTTCTACTGCTATTGATACTAAACCTACTATTACTGCTTCTACTGCTAGTACTACTAATACCACAATTACAATTATAACTAATACTACTACTAATATTACTACAAACAATTTTAAACCTCTTTTTAGTCATCTCAGCTTTTGTTATTTCTGTACTTTTTAAAATTCATTTAAGCAACTTCTGTATTTTTTTTAGAAAATCTATTGAAATTCAGCTTCCCCACTTCCTGTATTTTCAGCAGTTCTTTAAAATAATTTCACCTTTTCTTATGGCTGTATTAACAGCAATGTTTTAATATTCATTTCTGTATTTTTTTGCAATATTTCACATTCATTTCAGCTGTTTCCATTTCTGCTTTTTCAGCAAATCTATTGAAATTCCTTTCAGCTTCTCCCATTTCTGTATTTTCAGCAATTTAAAATAAATTTCAGCTTTTCTAATATCTGTAATTTCAGCAAATGTATTCAAATTCCCTTCAACTTTCTGTAATTTCAGCTATTTTTAAAAATTCATTTCAGCTTTATGCATTCCAACGCATTTTCAGCAGGAAATGCATTTTGTAGTTGGTTTGATTATTCTAATAATACTATGATGTTCCCGGAATGTAAATGACCTTTGAAATTTGTCGGAAATTGGTGATTTGTGTAAGCCTTGTTTAATATAAAAAGAGAAATACAAGTACAGTTCATTTACCATTTACCAGGTAATTTTGAGATGGCTGATATCTGTATGTCTCCCCTCTCAGACAAACAGGGCTCCTGGTGATGGGACCAGAGGAAAGTCAGGGTTACCAGATGATTAAGAACACCCTGCAAAAAAACAAGGTTCCTATAGAAATCCTGAACCGTGACAATTTCTCACAGCACATCCCCAATGTCAACCTGGCTCTAGGAGATGGCGCAATGGTGGACATAACCGCTGGAGTTCTGTATGCTGACCGTGCACTCAAGACTGTACAGGTACCACACATATACTGCTGATAAAGCTGTAGCTATGTTATCATCTGTAATTTAAATTGGTTTAACTATTACACAAACTGTTTATTCCAAATGCCAACCGCAGTTCACAGATCCACAGTCTATTTTGTTATATCTATGAAACTTTCTCTGAAGTACACCATATTTCTCAAGTGTACTATGGCTTTGGTAAAAATAATTTCACAGCAACCAATATTATCTATTCAATTCATTTTATTTTTTATAGCTCAAAATGACAAATTACAAATTTGCCTCAAAGGGCTTTGCAGTCTGTACACATAATCATCTTGATTATCTTGATTTTTATCTTTATTATCTTTCATCAAAACCAACCATGAACAGTGAAGGATTTTCCGTAACACATGTTGTGGTGTTCTCTCTTCACAGAGGCAGTTCGAGAAGTTGGGTGGAGTCATTAGAGACAATGAACAGGTAACCGACGTCAAGCCTGGCCCGGTTGTGACAGTGACCACCTCTGCCGGTGTGTATCGAGCCAAGAGTGTGGTGGTCACCGCTGGACCTTGGGCTAACAGACTGCTGGCCCACACTGGCTTACAGTTGCCACTCACGGTAATCAGTTCCATAGTGTCCCATGTGTTTGTGGAGATGCGTTAATGTAATTTAACATGGATGTTTACAATACCAACAGTTTGGTGTCATAGGCAGCTACTTGATGCACTCTGTCACTGTTTTTTTGGCCTATGCTACAGAAATGGCATACCATGATAAGAAGTGTAATGACTCTGTAACTACTTAACCTTTTTGGACAATACTTTTGTCAAGATAAAGTGGGAACCCCTGTGAGTATTCTGATGCGTAAAAATTAGTTTAACTTATTGCTTAAGATATAAATCAATATAACACAGAATAAACTACAGACATTTGTGAATCCCCTGAAATAAAACCACTAATGGTTTTATACAAGGCTTTCAGGTTAAAAATACATTTATGCAATAGCCCAGTGTGTGGACAGTATGAATGGATTTCTGGGACTTGGCTGGCACTGATGGTTTTCCCGGTTTCACTATTTTAGGTGGTGAAAATCAACGTGTGCTACTGGAAAGAGAAGGTTCCTGGATCATACAATGTGAAGCAGCGCTTTCCCTGCTTCTTGCTGACTGAGTTCGAGGAGACCAAAGACATCTACGGCCTCCCGTCTAACGAATACCCGGGCTTAATGAAGGTATGTAACAGTACTGAACCTTCAAGAATAATACTCTTCATTCTGTACAGAGTCCTGGTAATCATATTAAAAGTTGCATTGTTTATATTTCAATGTCATTCTTGGGTTTGCTTTTTCAGTCAATATTTTGACTTTATTATTCAATATTACAATTTAAACTAGTGATGTGTGTGCATTCAAGTAAACACAGCTCTTGATCAAATTAAGATAGAGGTACACACTGTGTACCCATGATCATTACACTTCATTAACATGGTTGTTTGCTTCAGACTTCCGTGTAGGATATGAGCAGTTAGATCAGAGTATAGCTTTAGCTTAAGCTAGCTTCTTAAGCTGAATAATGCTGTGAAAAAAGAGGTTAGCAATTCAGTTAACAGAGTCAGGGGCGGACTGGGGCTAGTATCAGATGGTTATACATACAGAGCCTTTTTTTTTTATTTAAATTTTGTATAGCCCAAAATCGCAAATTACAAACTTGCCTCAGAGGGATTTACAGTCTGTACTCATGCAACATCCTCTGTCCCGAAACCCTCACATCGGCACAGGAAAAACTCCCCTTTAAATGAAAACCCTCCCATGGTGAAAAAAGGGACGAGACCTTAAGGAGAACATCAGAGGAGGGATCCCTCTCCCGGGATGGACAGACTACAATAGATGTCATGTTTACAGAATAAACAAAAATAACTAATGTTAATAAAACGTGGATTATTGTAAAAGGAGAGAGGGAGCCTTGAGGAATGAATGTAGAAAGAACAGGCATTAAGAAGGAGGTGGAATTAGTATGAACTATTTTGTAACAATGAACATATCATGTGTGCATGCAGGTGGAAACAATCAGAGACACGGCAGACAATCACAGGGGAAGCCAGGACAAGGCAGGAGCCGAGAATAGGGTATCCCCTACGGCCAGCCCATCCCCTGGATAGAGGTTGTGAACTAAACAGAGAAATTAACAATAGAGAACTGAGTATCAAACACCGACCTCCCTCGCTGATACATGGCGGGGACAAATATGGTGTTTGATAAGGACATACTCTCAGACGTTATTGACTGAGATAACCATTTTAACAAACCACTTAACGACAAATGTTTGTATAACATAACATAGCTAAGAAAATAAATGAAACAATAGTATCAATAACAAGGTCTGATACCGCTCTACCTTATTTTGCTGGTGACTGGGATAAAAGAGTTTCTCATTAAACTTAATGTGATATGAAATCAAAATGAATGTTCCCTGTATATGTGTGTGTGTTTCAGATGTTGTGCTGACACCAAACCTACACTCAGTAAATGAAACTACACCCTATAGCTTGGTCTGTGGCTGCTGGTGGGGGTCATCCAATTCTGTAGACGGGAATGAAACTCCGTGTGTAACAATGGATGCACATACGGTTAATGAGCTCAGAACACATGAATAAGCAGTATGTGTGATTTAAACATCTGTCCAGACCAATCACCGAACATTTCACTTAAAACATCTAAGCATAAAAACATGTCTAAGAGTGATATTATTTAACCCTATTGGGAACTACAGAGAAGCATTTTTGCCTCTTTTGGCAGGAATGTTGTTCTTGACAACCATTACATTACATATCATTTAGCTGACGCTTTTATCCAAAGCGACTTACAATAAGTGCATTCAACCATATGGATACAAACTCAAGAAAGTGAGGGACAATTTTAGCAGATGCAGAGCGGAGTGCGCGGGTTGGGATGTAGAGTTTGACTATGTCCTGGATGTAGACTTGACCCAAATCCATTCACAGCATGGTACGTGAACACCAATGTTTTGAACTGGATGCGGGACCACTGCTAGCGAGTGAAGAGAGCGGAGCAGTGGAGTAGTGTAGGAGAATTTCGGAAGGTTAAAGACTAGTCGAGCTGCTGCATTCTGGATGAGCTGCCTTGCACGATAAATGGCGGTGGCAGGGAGACCTGCCAGGCGGGAGAATACAACAACCTGAATCAGTACCTGCCCCGCCTTCTGAGTGAGAAGGGGACGTATTTTCCTGATGTTACAGGATCGTGTTGTTGCAGTGATGTTGGGAGTCAGGGAGAGTTGACTGTCGAGTGTCACGCCGGGGTTCCTAGCAGTCAAAGTGGGCGTTAACACTGAGTTGCCAAAGTTAACCGTCAAGACCTGGGTAGGAGAATCTTTTCCCGGAAAGAGAAGTAGTTCAGTCTTGTCGGGGTTGATTTTCAGATGGTGAGTGGACATCCACTGAGAGATGTCAGTCAGTCAGACTGGCAAAGATCTGTGCCGCCACCTGAATGTCCGTGTGAGGGAAGGAGAGAATTAGTTGGGTGTCATCGGCATAGCTGTGGTAGGAGAAGCCATGCGAGCGAATGACAGCCCCAAGAGAGTTAGTGTAGAGCGAGAGGAGGACGGAACCCTGAGGAACTCCAGTAGTAAGAGGACAAGGTTCCGACACAGAGCGGCCGTCAAGGTAGGGCGAGAGATGGGAGAGAGCAGGGCCTGTGACACCAAGTTCCTGAAGGGAGGAAATAAGGATATGGTGGTTAACTGTGTCAAATGCAGCAAAAAGATCCAGAAGGATGAGGACAGAGGAGAGAGAGGCAGCTCTAGCAGTGTGGAGTTGCTCTGAGACATCAAGGAGAGCAGTCTCTGTGGAATGGCCTGCCTTGAAGCCTGACTTCACCAGAGCTGCTGTATGTCCAAAATTTGATAAAAATTGTATCTATAATATTCAGTTTTTGTTGTGTTTTTACTGCATCAAGCTGTCAGAAAGCGTACTAGCTGTGCCTCTGGTCTGGTGAGAGCATGAATGTCAGACCTGATATAAAAGCAGCTCTGGTAGTTGTCTGTGTGTACGACAGTCATTTCACCTTCCAAGCTGAGAATAAGTGCCTAAATATATTCTCTATTGTTAACTTTACATAAAACATTACCAGCTATAAAAGGAATATATCATACAGAACACAGTCGGCGTTGGATTATGCCGTATCGTGAACAATATTGGCCTATTGCTGTTGCTGTGCATCTAAAGAACTAAGGGCTACCAAGCTTTTAGCCTTTCATATAGAAATTATACTGATGACGTCATTCTGTGTGCAGATATGCTACCATGGGGGGAGTGAGACGAACCCAGACCAGAGAGACAAGACGACAAACAGGTCGGATATTGACATCCTCCAACGCTGCGTTGCCTGCTGTTTTCCGGGCCTGGTCCCGGAACCTGCTGTGGTGGAGAGCTGCTTGTACACTGTCAGTATACACACTCCACATCACAGTACACCTAATACTGAGAATTTAGACTTAGACAGTACAGCGCTTTGATGACCCAGAGGCAACAGATAACATCAGATGATTCAAACTGCCAACAATTTATTCATTCATACAATCATCAAAAGTCATGAGGTAATAGTTCAAATGCTTCTGTCACAACGGGGTATCGGAACCAGGACTCAAATACAGACTTCGCACAGAAAAATACTTTAAATACCAAAAGGCCTGGGGGCAAAACGCGGATCAGGAGAGGAGCAAACAAAACACATTCAACTTAATGACTCTACAAGAGACACACATTGCTTAAATACACTGGGAAGGTGCAGGTGATTGGACACAGGTGGAAACATCAGGGACACTGCAGACAATCACAGGGGTGACACGACATGGCAGGAAACTAACCCAGGGACACGAGAAGCAGGAAACTACAAAATAAAACAAAAAAGAAACCCACACAGTGACAGCTTCTATTTTGTTAATTAAAACAACTAACTTTACCCCATTTGCATTTAACTGGGAAATAGGAATGAGGAGCTGGGAATGACACCCGAGTCGATTGTGTTCCAGTGGAACAAATGGAAAAACTTAATTGGGTTTCTTCGAGCCAGATTTGGTATTACAAGCCCTTCCAGTTGATTACAACACCTTATGCTGGTATTTTGCAACAGGAACCAGGGTAGGTTTTTTACTTCATAGATTTAGAATTTTTGAAATTTTATATATCTGGTATTAAGTTGTCAATAATAACACTGGTCTATCACAGTAGCATCACGTGTTTTATTCTATAGTTTCAATAGTTTTAAAACATGTTTTAGTGTGACGTTATTCTTCAAATACATTCTATGATAACCATAAGCCTTTCTATAGTTTTAGATTTAGGAAACAATCAAACAAAACTAATATTAACTAGATCTTAACATTTTAGAACTTTTTTGTCAAGTGTTCTAGATTGTAATACATTCCCAGTGATAAATTAGTAACAGCTTTAGTATGTAATTATATAAGAATACTGTGAAACATTAAACAAGATGCTTTTATCCAAAGCGACTTGCATTGCATTTTTTAACCCATGGTTTTTACATTTTGCCCGAGGAGCAATTAGGGGTTAGGTGTTGTCACGGTGCGGATCCTTGGGGGGGCGTACAGAGTCGGCACGACACAGCAGGTATAGAAGCAATATGTTTATTTCGGTTTCTTTATGCAGAATCGACCTCTCCCGGCGTCTCGCTCTCTCGCCGTCGACCTCTCTTCCCGTCGACTCCGCTACTGCATTTTAAAACCACAATACAAACAGTTAGTGCAATCGGGCCAGCTGAGGCCAATTGCCTCCACCTGGCACCGTTCCCTGAGCCACTCCCTTCTCCGTCCCCTCTGCAGCCGAGCCAAACCACGCCCGCCACCACAGGTGTCTTGCTCAGGGACACTTAGACATAGGGCATGGAGCAGCCAAGGTTTGAACCGCCAACCTGGCGGTTCCCGACGCCACCATCGACCCCTATTATTCAAATCATTGCGTAATTTACTGCATTTTAATTGTTTCTCAACACACATGTGTAAATGTACAATATAATTTTCACAAGTCCTTTTATGGGCTTTCATATTCGGCAGTTTAACTCCCCCTAAGGGGGACTCCCGGGCTAGACCTTTAAAATGAGGACAATTTTCGTAGGTCACATTGGGACCGACCTTGAAATCCCTGGTGCAAAATTAGTTTTAGGATTATGTTTAAATTAATGTCAAGGGAAGGGGTTTTATGTTTCAAGTCTGTCTCTATATCCAGAGACAGACTTCTTAAAATAATAAACCATCATGATCAAATTCATGATAGACCATAGCTATAAATCGTGAGAAGATAAAACTCTTGTGATGATCCTTACCATTTTTCCTGCAATTTCTTTATATTATCTTGAATAGTTAAAACAATCAGAAGAGATGTACGTTTCATTATTCACAACTGAATTTTATGCATTTGTTATTGAACAGATGCTAAATAAAGGCACTGAGTTGGAGTTTCTCATTCTTGAACATTTTTCATATTCAATTTTCAAATACATATGGACAAACATGCAATTTGACTGCAATTTGTCAATCATTAGCATTAGCATGAATGCAAACATTTTAGGATTAGGGAAATCATTGATCTCAATCATTTTAAGCAATCGGCGAGCATCTATGGATTCACATTCTAGCTCAGTTTGAATTGCAAAAGGTAGCTAGCCTTTCATATTAGATCCACTGGTATAAATAGACTACAATTATCAGACAAATACAAATATTCAAGTGCCCTCTTGTTGCTCAAATGTTTACAGATGGAAATGTTAATCTTGGTGACGAGCGTCCACCCATATGGAGCACTACCGAGGCAGAACTTTCAACAGAACTATTGTGTACTTATAATAATGCTTCAACTCACTTCAAACGTTAGTCTTTGCTACAATATCCCCAATCCGTTTGAAAATTAGTCAAAAACATTTGCACACGGCAGTACATATTCTTAAGTAGCTAACACCTAAAAGGACGCAAGTAGCTAGCCGAAAGGATGCTGAAAACACTAATATAATAATTTCTCTCGGACAAACCTTGCCAATACCGAACCACAAATCCATCCACCATATGAATCATAAATGCCCCTTTGATGTTTTTTTAACAAAATTATAAAATTAATTATTATATTATTATTCGAGTGAAATCGAAATCCATCGTTTTCCACGCTGGTTTTACGGGTAAAGGAGGGTCAGCACTCTCGAGCGTCTGATTTAAAGGATTTATGGGGCTGTTTGTGATATTTTTAGGCGATTTACACAATTTAAATAAAAAAAAAAACCTAATTTCTTCACTAGTAATTTTTACACATCACAGGCGTTCCCCTTTAAATGTTCAAATAGAAAAAGTAGTTACAGAGTTATTACACTTTTTATCATGTTTTCCATTTTTGGGACAGAAGCCAAAAAATAGGTTAGTCACTAAAGATTATAGAAGAAATCAGATTTATTTGGAGGGTTTAATCTCCTGCAACCCACCTATTTTATTTGTATCTGACTCTTCATGTTTTTTTCCTTTTAACAGCTCACGCCCGACCATCATTTTGTGCTGGACTGTCACCCGTCGCACAGCAACATTGTATTCGGAGCTGGATTCTCAGGTACGTCACAATACAACACAAAATATTGTGAGCCAAAGACTCTTGCGCATTCTTGTTTAAACCTGCTTTTAGGAGGCAGAGAATTTTCACTGCTAAACGGAGGTGCGCTTACATGGGCAGTTTATGTACAAACCAAAACACATAATTAGGGCACTTTCCGCATCCCCTCCCATCTCCTGAGGTGAAAATACAACCTTTCCTCCCGTGAATGCATATGCATAACATGGAAAAGCACAATTTTCCTAAGTAGTTCTCTTTCATAATACTTTGTTCGATGTCTCACTATGGGATGCACGCCCCGCTGCAGACCTCAGAAGCATTAATCTCATTACGCCAATCCTGATTGGCTGGTGAAACGTGTCCGTCCGCCTCAGGTTGTACCACCCACCTTAAATATGTCATGCAGACGACACCACGTCATTCAAACACCTCTTCTCACTCGAAGTATATCTCGCGTCTTGGGCTAGTTGGCTGAACTGTCCACAGACAGATCTTATTTAGCTTCTGTAGCTGGGCGCTAGCTAGCCCTGGATGTTTTTTTTTTTTTTCTGCTTCGTCGGTCACACCTGATCGAATTTTGTGCTTTCCTCGCCCTCCATGACTTGGTTGGCACTGTCCTCGACGCCTCACCACGGCTGTTCGAGTACCGAGGGTTAGCACACCAGCTAATCTCTCGAACTTTCGGTTAGCACACCAGCTAACTGCCTCGACTCCCTGCCTGCACACCAGCTGTGGGGAGGGAGAGCACAGAGACTTAAGGAGAGGGTAATGTTGGTTTACGAGTACAGTAATATGATTAATATCTAAAATAATAATGATGATGATGATGGCAGCAGCAGGCATCAGCAGGGCCACGGTAGGTGTCAGGACCAGGGTCCCGAAGGAACCACGATCTACGTAGACCTGCTAAGGGAGAAAGCACAAAAAACACTGACCGAATCTGCCCCCCGGACTGAAAGTGGAACCTGGTTCCACAAAAGAGGAGCTTGATAACTGAAGGCTCTGGCCCCCAGCCTACTTTTTAAAACCATAGGAACAACAAGTAACCCAGCATCTATGGAGCGCAGCTGCCTTGTAGGGCAATAAGGTGTTACAAGCTCTTTAAGATACAACGGTGCCTCACCAGCAAGTGCCTTGTAGGTGAGGAGAAGTACCTTAAAATCTATTCTTGATTTAACAGGGAGCCAGTGCAGAGATGTTAATACAGGAGTGATATGATCCCTTTTCTTAGTTCTTGTTAATACACGTGCTGCAGCATTCTGAATCAACTGGAGAGGCTTAAGAGATTTACAAGAGCAGCCTGATAAAGAATTACAGTAGTCCAGTCTGGAAGTGACAAACGCATGAACTAATTTTTCTGCATTACTTTGAGACAGGAAGTTCCTGATTTTTGTTTGTTACGTAAATGAAAATAGGCAGTCCTTGAAGTCTTCTTTATATGCGAGTTGAAGGTCATATCCTGGTCGAAGAGAACTCCCAGATTCCTGACGGTGCTGCTGGGTACCAGAGCAATTCCATCCATAAAAACTGTATCACGTGACAGCTGGCTTCGAAGGCGCTCTGGGGCTGTCCTCTCCCTGCTCACGGCGTATCAAGCTGAGTTGTGTGAGGATTTTGCGCAGACTCAGGACCCAGCTACGTGGGAGGAGATTCCGGGAATCACCGACCTGTGTCTCCATGTCCAACGCTGTGCGGTCCAGGCCATGGGAAAACCGCTGGCTCAACCTCGCCAGCCTGTCAGACAGAGAGAGGGACGACGTCCTGGACATGCCCATTGTCCCGGAGGGGATTTTTCACCCCGCGCTAGACTTGATGCAACAGCGCCAAAAAGAAGGAGGTTTTCCACAAAACCTTCGCGCAGGCTGCCCCACAGGCTTCGCTGTTTAAAATTCCGAAACAGTCGAAACCCCAGCCCGCACCGGCCCCCCTGCCAGGTCGGGCCGGCTGGCCCAAAAAATCCCTGGCCCCGGTTGCAGCTCCGCCGGCACAGCCCGTGCAGACTGTCTACAACCAGGCCAGGAAAAAGAAGAGAGCGGCCTGACCACCCCTCTCTTCACCAGTGTTGCAGCTGGAAGTTCTCCATTCGCCAGCTCCACCTGTTTGGCTTTCGAGCGTTCACTCGGGGGGCCACCACGCCCCCACCTCCTGGTTGCCACGGAGCAAGCAGGGAGAGACGGACATTTGACGGTGGAGGGTTCTGCGGTTGCCCCTCCCTCATGTCCACAAGCACGCACATTCACACATGTTCCCGAAAAGAAAATATAGTGTGTCCCGCTGCCGCATCCAGGCCGAGTGCCGAGGGTGCAGTTAATGAAAACAGCCAAATATGTCAAAATAAACAGCGCGGTGGCGACACCCGCTGTCACCCCCCCCCCCCCCGAGAGGGGGCTGTGTGGGCCCCGCCGCTGCGCTGTCTTCCCGGGAGGAGATGCTCAGCGGCATCCGGGGACCAGGTCACTCTTCCACCGGGGGAGGTCACCTCCGCACCGCGGCGGGCGCCTCTCATGGTGGAGGGGCTGCAGTGTGTGTCCACTCTCTCCCACAGATGGGAGAGATGGGGTGCGCTTCCAGCCTCACCCTGGGTGTTAAGGACGATCGAGGGGATGGAGACTACAGTTCGCAGCTGTTCCCCCGTGGTTCGCCGGTATAATACACTCCCAGGGAGAGTCGGCTCGTGTTTTGCAGGAGGAAATTCTCTCACTGTTGAACAAAGGAGCAATTTGTGTCGTACCTCCCGCACAGTGTCAGAGCGGTTTTTACTGCAGGTATTTTCTGGTCCCCAAACGGGGGGTGAGCGGTATTCGCCCTATTCTGGATCTACGTGCTCTGAACAAATATCTCAGGAAAAATATTTCAGTTCCGGATGCTGACACACGCATCTCTGCTGCGCCTCGTACGACGTGATTGGTCCACTTCTGTCGATCTAAAAGACTCATATTTCCGCATCCCAATTTACCCTCCCCACAGAAAGTATCTAAGATTTGCTTTCCAGGGGATCGGTTACGAGTACCACGTGCTCCCTTTCAGTATGTCTTTAAGCCCGAGGGTGTTTGTGCGGTGCACGCTGAGACGGCAGGGCATGCGCCTGGCCACATATCTGGACGATTGGTTGCTGTTGGCACAATCGGAACAGAAGGCCATAACGCACACACGTATTCTCGTGCGTCACCTATCCGACCTGGGTTTCGTGATAAACGCGGAAAAGAGCGTGTTGTCCCCGACACAGGGCATTATGGGATTATCCCTGGACTCTGTGGCTTTCTCAGCGTGCCTTTCAGCCGCTGGATCCCGTGCGTCACGGCACACGGAGAGCGGTGGTCACGCCGGGATGCGCCAGGGTGCTCCGTCACTGGCGAGTCCCGGCCTTTCTGACCCAAGGGGTGGCCATGGGTTCCGTCCTGTCCAGGAAAGTGGTCACGACGGACGCCAGCCTGACAGGTTGGGGCGGAATTTACGAGGGCCGATCTGTGAGGGGTGCAGACCTCCAGCGTAAATTCACATAAATGTTCTGGAACTTTCAGCGGTGTTTCTCTCCCTGAAACATTTCATTCTGTCTGTCTTGGGCCATCATGTCTCCATCATGACGGGACAATATGACGACGGTGGCGTCCATCAACCGTCAGGGGGGTTTACGTTCCCGTCAGTTGCTGGAAAACAAACTGATCCTGTGGAGCTGCGGTAGTCTTCTCTCCCTGAGAGCGACGCATGTCCCGGGAGCCCTGAACACGGGCGCGGACCTGGCGAAGGGACCTGCTGTCGCAGGGGGAAGGAACGGTCTTCCACCCGCACCCAGAGCGTCTGGCGCTGTGGGCTTGGCCCCTGAGTGGCTAAATCTCTCAGCTGTGAGCCTTTCACAGCGGGGGATTTCCACTATACAAAGTGCTCGAGCCTCCTCCACTGGAGAGTGTTAGAGGGATGGTGTCACAGAAATGGCCACATTCCCTTTCAGTGTCCAGTAGAAGTGATATTGTCATTCTTGCAGGACCTGATTGACAAACTGAAAGCCTTCTCCGCGGTTAAGGTTTACTGGTAATCCCACTGGTACCACCGTGGGATCTGGCTGTGGTTCTGTAGAGGCTTAAGGGCCCCCCCTTTGAGCCACTGGAGGGGGCAGACTTGAAATACGTGTCTCTCAAGACAGTGTTGTTGCTGGCGCTGGCTTCGGCTAAACGGGTTAATGACATCCACGCGCTTTCGGTGCACCCGTCATGCGCTCAACTCTTTCCGTGGGGATGTGATTTTGAAGCCCAACCCGGCCTTTGTGCCTCCGGTGGTGGGCTCATGTTCTCCTATTGACCTTGTGGCCCCACCGGGTGAGCAGCGTTCGCATGAGTTATGTCCAGTCCGTGCGGTGCGCACTTACATGGATAGGACGAGGGGTTTCAGCTGTTAGTCTCCTTGGCTAATCTGCACACGGGGAAACCTGTTGCAAAGCAGCGCCTGTCCCACTGGGTGGTGGAGGCGATTGCTTTGGCTTATATGAGTCGGGGCATGCAGCCACCTGTGGGCTTGCGAGCGCACTCGACTCGGGGCCTGGCCGCATCCTGGGCCTTATTCAGGGGAGTTTCTGTTCAGGACATCTGTGCTGCGGCGAGTTGGTCCTCACCACTCACGCTCTGTGCGTGGCACGCGCGGTTTTGCTGTCCTGATTGGAACGGAGTATTTTTCCCTGAGGGTTGGTGGACGCTAGATAAGCTTGTCTGGCAATACGGGAGCAACCACATCCCATAGTGAGACATCGATAATACCAGAAGTATTATGAAAGAGAACTTTAGGTTATTTACATAACCCCCGTTCTCTGAGTAATATGAGTGAGATGTCTCACCAGACAACCCTTCTTGCTTGGGCGAGTGAGAAGAGGTGCTTATCTTGAATGACGTGGTGTCGTCCCTATGAGATATTTAAGGTGGGTGGTACTACCTGAGGCGGACGGACACGTTTCACCAGTCAATCAGGATTGGCGTAATTAGATTAATGCTTCTGAGGTCTGCAGCGGGGCGTGCATCCCATAGTGAGACATGTCACTCATATTACAAGACGGGCACCTCCGTGGGGCATGTTCGTACATACCAATGGCATGCACGTTGAGAAACAAATACGCCTGAAGTGTTAGTACACAAGGCCTTGAAAGAGAAAAAAAGATTTGAAACTTGAAAATATAAAACCTGCAAATATAGTACAGCGAATATCAAAAAATATATATAAGTGTAGAATGAAAAATTATTTCAAAACTATTTGCAACCTGAAAATACTTTTCGTCCACTTATTTTTATTTTGAATAAATGTATTTTTCAATGTTCAAGACCAAAAACTTTCAAGTTCACATTTGTTTTTCAAATGACCAAAACTTTTGACTTGCATTTGGCTCCATTGGATAAAGAAACTATTGTCTAAAGACCCACAATAGAAAGTGGTCAAATTAATAAATTACTGAAGAACTACATGTATTATATTCTGATCGTAATGTCCCTGGAGGCGTTATTTATTTATGAGTCACTGTTAATTATGGTCTGTACTCTTCATGTACTGCTCATCCTCCAGTTAAAATGCTGAGAGCCTAGTGAAGAATAGTGGAGAGGTTCTGCCAAATCCTAAAAACATTGCCTTCCTTCCTTCTTCACGACATGCATTTGTCTTCAAAGATCGCAAGTACTGGGGGGTTGCCATAGCTACTAAATCCCCCCATGGGCTTTAGTAGCCATCTATTGAGGTTTCTCTTTCTCTGGCGAGATGAAAATTCACATGGCCAAACTGTCGAAGCCAAGCTTTTGACTTCAAAGCCAGGCGGAATCCACGGGAGCTCTGAGATCTTTGTCACATGGCAACGTACTGCATTCCTCAAATTCTGTTAACATTCACAATTTTCCTCCTAGACCTTAGCAACAAGGACTATCAGACTGCTGCATTTTGAAAATACACACTCTCTCATCTCACTCCTGGGCTTGAAGCCATTACGTATGAAGCCATGACACAAAGAAAAAAGAAATTGCCCTTAATTTAGCACTTGGTCCTGGTTCACTAAAGTGAATAAATTCTCAGTGACAGGCAACAGCTTTATTCTTCTTTTATGTATGCACTCATGTGGGGCTCGAACCCATCGCCTGACTCAGACAAAGGCACAGAGATGCTGGTTATTCTTAGGGTAACTCGAAAGTGCAGGGCATGGATTTGCTTACATTAAGGTGTTGATTCATCTGGCATGGTTTGATGATCTGCATGTTTCCTCACTGTAATGAGTTCTCTTCTCTAGGCCATGGCTTCAAGTTTGGACCAATAATTGGAAAGCTCCTCTGTGAGCTCGTCCTGGGAGAAGTGCCCTCCTATGACCTTTCACCTTTTCGAATCAGACGTTTCCAGGATAAGACCAAATCAGCATTATAGAGCTGGGCTGGATACCAAGAGCATCGACAGAACCAGAAGTCTTATCTCATTGTGGCGGATGTATGATTTGATATTGTCATGTCAATTCATTCCTGTTGTTAAACACAATCACACCATCACGTAGTCCTATCATTTGTCCTCCCTTTTATTTGATCTATCAATGTGTATTGTCAGTTTCACATGGTGTAATCGGCTGTCTAGCTGCAGTGGGTCCTAAAAGTCAGTTTTTACACATACAGGCAGGGCCGGCTCTAGCCCATTAGCTGCCCTAGACGATACTAAGATGTGCACCCCCCCCATCTACCACCTAGGGGCACTTTGAACCACATTCATTCTATGTAATCATTTGATATACATTATAGGTACACTATGCTGTATGTATTCTACTGTACATTTATATCTGATAAATGTACTACAGGCTATATAATGGTCTCAGAACATTTACATTTTTAGTAACTCCAACAACAAATGAATTCGCTATCTGGCTTTATGTGCGCCTTGTTTATACATTCTGCGCTGTCCCTGCCAAATAAATACAAATAAGATTTAAAAGATAAATTAGGCTGTAGTGTAGATTCAGGGTTGTGCCTGTTGCTCCTTCACCTGAAGGCAAATACATACAATTGATATTCATCGTTTAATACAGATACATTATGGCAATAGGCAATACAATGACTGATTTTTTTTTTCTTCATATGTTGAGATTCATCACTGATCTTGTGAGTCATAATACGACTGGCAGTGAATACATCAAAATCAGTGGTGTTTAGTGGAGTAAACATTTATTCAAACATTTGAAATCTGCATTGTTTTGTAAGCTTTTAAGTGTAAAGTAAAATAAATACATTTTACTATATAAGACAGAACTGCTCCTGCCCTTGCAAACGCAGCTCTTACGCTCGACTTGTGATCTGACAAATAAATCTACCACAACGAGAGAAGTTGTTTGGCTAAATCCTTCCAGATGTCCCCAACCGGGCTTCCGATTTTTGATCATGTTCGTTCGCTTCGTGTGTTCTTTCAATTTGGTGACCCCAACGTGATTGGTTGACCTGGACAAAGAAAGAGGGTGACGTCCATTTTTCCGGACCAGGCGGAAGGACCGGCGGCGTGGTTCAGCAGTGACACAAAGGCGTGCGCTGCAGAAATAGGTAAGCAGACAACCAACTGGAGGTCGACTCTTAGTCCGTAGAAATCCGTGTGGTACGTTGATACCTCTGGTAACTGGAGTCCCACGTATATATATCGTGGACTGGCAGTTTGGAGCACATTTTAGCATGCCTCCACTTCGGAAAGTAGCACTTCCATCTCGCAGAGAGGGGAATCGCAGGTGCAGGGCTCATTTAAATATTATTTGCATATTTAAGTAGGGGCGTGGACAGGGAGGAGTCGGATACTCCGACATGTGCGCTCAATTCCACGTTGATCGGGATGTACAAAGGAAATGTGCTTCGCACACACAGTTGCAGGAAAGAGGAAAGTCTGGAGGAGAGACAGATTCTCAACCAACAAGCCTGCAGCTGCAGAGCCAGCTTATTATGAGGAGACAAGGACCAAGAACATGCACATGCCTGCTAGCAGCTAAAGGGAGATTTTGTGGCAAGAAAAACTAAATTCTTATAAAGTTATTATTGATCCCCAACAGTGTTAAACACGGACAGTTAGAAAAGTCCAGAACAAGAAATTAATTAACAGAGTGAACGTAGCAAAAGAGAAATATATAAATAAATAATACATCAAATATAAATAGATTTTAAAGATTTTGCGTGGTTTGGGGTTCACACAAATCAGTTATTTTGACAAATCGAAATAAATTCATATGTTAACAAATGGGCTTTATGAAACAATTATCAAACACTATAAGGGTAAGACACGCACACAGAAAAGCTGTCTGTGCGGTTATCATAGATTCAACAACAGGTTTACAAGCAAGAGAACAATTGGAGATATCAGAGAATTGCTTAGTCAACCTGTTTATTCAGAGTGAACAAAAGTTGTTATAATAAAGCATGAGTGACTGATATGTGAAAGAGTTTCTAAACTCCCCAAGCTAAAATTTTGATTTAACTACAAGAGGTCAGCGATAAGTTACTAAGAACTGAAGTAAATTTAAAAAGTCTAATAGAATTGTAGAAAGAAAAAGTAGATTTAAAGTCTGTGTAACACTTGAATCAAGGATTTAAAATATGAAGAACAATTATTAGAACATTAGTCAAGGTAGAGTCTGAAGAGGTGTGTCTTTAGTTTGCGGCGGAAGATGCGAAGGCTCTCTGCGGTCCTGGTGTCATCAGAGAGCTTGTTCCACCATTTCGGAGCATGGACAGCAAAGAGTCGTGGTCTAGTTGAGTGTTTTGCTCTCAGTGAGGGAGGGACAAGCAGTTTTGCAGATGGAGCGTGGAGACTGTGGGTCGGTATGTACGGTTTGACCATGTCCTGGATGTAAGCTGGACCCGATCCATTCACAGCATGGTGCGTGAGCACCAATGTTTTGAACTGGATTGCGGGCAGCCACCGGTAGCCAGTGAAGAGAGCGGAGGAGTGGAGTAGTGTGGGAGAATTTCGGAAGGTTAAAGACCAGTCGAGCTGCTGCATTCTGGATGAGCTGCAGAGGTCGAATGGCGGTAGCAGGGAGACCTGCCAGAAGGGAGTTGCAGTAGTCCAGGCGGGAGATGACAAGAGCCTGAATCAGTACCTGGGCAGCCTTCTGAGTGAGAAGAGGACGTATTCTCCTGATGTTGTAGAGCGTGTATCTACAGGATCGAACACCTGTGCCATGTCCCCAGCGGTGTGCCCCCAAAGGAGATGTGCTTCAATAATATTTGGAGGTAAAATATACAATTGTCATCTATGGGTCACTCCTCTGGTTTCGGAAAGATGTAAAGTTGGTGAGCAGCTCCTTTCAAAATTCAACTTCCACATTCATGTCGATATTTAGCTGAGCGAAGTGCTCTGTCACTTTATCCAGCCAAAACTGGAGTGGCCTTCTTCACGCGGTTCTCTAAATCGTTTGCTAATGATCGCAAGTGATTTGAAATGGTTTGTAAAAACAATGCGATGTTGCCAAATGCTAACAACTTCTGCCAAGGAGCCAACTTCTACCACATGTGCAAGCCATAAGTAGTAGACCAGGAGCCATCAAACGTCATATGTATTTGTTTATCACCTGTTTGATTATCAACTTGTATTTATTTATTTCAACATGTATTTATTCATTTCATTTGTTTATTTACTCTTTTATTAAGTATTTCAGCATTTAATTTTGCTGTATTTAAGCATTTATTTACTCATTCCTGTATTTATTCATGAACGAATTTATTTATTCATACTCAAGCCATTTTTGTCCTCCATACATCATGGAATATATTGCAGAATAATTAAAAACTCAAAGAACTGATATCCCTTAGTGTTAAATTTATTGCAGAGAATGAACAACATAATAAAAGGACGATAGCTTGATAATAGCTGTAGAAGCACTTTATTCACCAGACAAATTTAAACTCATAGCAGGATTTTTTATAATTCTGCAACACATATCTGTTAAATTTGATCATATTTACATAGGTAATAATTATGATATAGTCTGCTGATCAAAAACATTCTGGTTTTCTTTACAATGAGTAGTAGAGCCTTATCAACACTCATTAATCAGTCCTATCCTTAAGATAGGATGGATTAAGATAGGATAGGATTTCACACAAGTCAATAGAAAGAAGTCGGCAAGGAAATACGCCTAATGTGTATGTTTATGGATGTGTTTTATGAACTGACAGACACCAGATGAAAACAGAAATAGGCGAGTCCAGAGAAAAATAAGAATTTGAACTGGACTTCAGGTGGGTTCTGCATCAAGCTCCTGAAACAGTGATGTGCTTTGAAGTCAATGATCCCTTGATTGGGAAAGGGTCTGTTTTCTTTTTTAGGCAAATTGACTTATCATAACCTCAACACAGGTAGGGAGGGGGGGTTACAGGAAACACCTGTGCACCTAACTGTATGGACCCCATGTGTGTCACTGGCGGACCTGTTTCATTTTATAACTGAAAGGCAAACAATTTTTGCATCATACAATTTTCAATTGCTATGAATTGGGCACTTCCTCAAATGCTGTATTAAGTTCTCTTTAAAGATTATGTGAAGTGTGTTTTATTTCATTATTAAAAAAACATTTTTTGAGAAGCAAGAAGCAGGGGGGCTATGTGGTAGTTAATCAATCTTCGAGTCCTCCCTGGAACTCTCTCGGTGCAAAGCCAAAGAAATCATACCCCTAGGATGTGGGAGGACAACAAACCGGCCGATCCCAGTCCCCTGAGATTTGTGATGCAACTGGCAGGCCTGCTCTACCACATGGGCAAAACTACTGCTCCTAAGCCACTACACTCAGGAGGACATAGCCAAGGACAGCGGAGAAAAGTAAAACCATCAAAAAACCTCCACAATAACCAAGCCTATAATAAAAAAAATGATTTTCTATATTGTGGCCGGATTTGATCAATTGTCTTGTCAAAGCAGGGTAAGGACCGAGAGTCAATGTCACGGTCTGGGTTCACGTCCTGTTTCATTTTGTAGTTTTCTGCCACTCGTCTCCCTTGGTAACTTCACTTCCTGCCTTGTCCTGTCATCCCCAGTGATTGTCTGATTGTTTCCACCTGTGTCCAATCACCTGCACCTTCCCAGTGTATTTAAGTCATGTGTGTCCCTTGTCGCGTCATTGTTAACAGTCGGAGGTCCATGTCTGTGTGTTCCCGGTTCCTGTGTGCGTTTTTTGCCCCTTGGCCTTTTTTGCTTTTGACTATTAAAAGTATTTTTGTTTTCTCGAAGTCTGCGTTTGAGTCCTGCCTTCCACGCCCTGCTCCCGTGACAGTCAATGTGAACGTATACGTACATATTGTGATACATTACATTTTATCTACTCACTTAAGGTGAAGAGATCTCATTGTCAAAATGACTGCAAACCTGGGCTTTTAATGTAATGAGTAATGGCCGTGCATGACTTGCCTTGTTTGTTTAATCTATGAATAGCTTATCTGCCATGAGGCAGGTGTGTAAACCACAGCAACTGTGTTGATTAGATATGACTCTGTATCTGTGTCAGAGTCCCACATTGACGTATTGAGTCATCTTTCAGCAAGGTGATCAGCCGCTGCAAGGCCGGAGACATTCCGGAGGGCTGTCAGTCACCTCGGCTGCAAAGGCTTCCAAATCAGCTGCCCAAAGGTTGGTCGTCAGGCTCAGCAGGATTATGACGCAAAACTAGATGATTTTTAGTATGCACTCATCGAGTGTGGCTTAAGTAACGCTGTCAAATTAAACTCATTCTTTGTGAGTCAAAGCGGGAAGAGAGACGCAAATGAGAGACAAACTCATACATCATTTTTTGTTTAAAAAACAATTTTGGCATCTTCTATTTCTGCTTTCAGAACACCTTAGTGGTCTCATACAACTAGGGTTAAGTTCTGGCTCATACACGCTGGCCTGACCAATCTGCAGAGAGCTGGCCAGGATTTAACAACAGCACTTGATGCTTTGACTTGCTGATGAACAGCACTCTGCAATGTTGCTGGCTTCCTCTTTGTACTGTTCTCGCCAGTGCTGTAGTGGTAAAATTAGAGGTAAACTGTGAATTTTGTGATCACACCGACCTCGACGCGATGCGAAGCAACGCAACACAAAGCGTCGCTGTCCTGGCTATATTGCATTATGTTATCAGTAAAAGTAATATACAATCAATGACAATGAATACATGTGTTAGTAGTTTGTAGTTTATTAAATTTAAGAAAACAGTAAAAAGTATGTCAACACAACACAACAACACAATTGCAGATTAAGAACTATCTACATATGGAGTCTCCTTTTTACAGTAGTGCCCAGAGGGCCTCCTTGTCCTTCACGTCAGGTCCTGCCTTGCACAGAGGAGCCATGGCTCAAGGTTCATGGCTCCTCTGTGCTTCTCTCTCTATTGGACCTGGTGTTTCTCCTCTCCCTGTGCTCTCTGCATCACTGCCTGTCCTCTCACTGCCTGAAAAAATATGTTGAATTTAAGAGTTAACCAGTTAAGCAGCCTGTCAATTACACTGACAACATAAGTTAAAGGAACACTCATGTACTACCTATGTCATCATAAATAGCCTATACAGCATGTTTTTTTTCACATTGAGAACGGACTTGTTTTCTAATCTACCCATCACCAAGCGTTTTTCTTGTCCTTTTACCGTGCACGACCAGCGAACACAGACCACTTGGGCCACTGGGCTGATCCACAACGTGTATGTGTTTACATACCTCCTGGATCCTGATTGGTGTCGCTGCTGCAGCCCCAAGGCACTGATTGGATGGTCACAGACCACAATACAGCGCAGATGAAAATGATTCAGACTGCGGCGTTTATATGTTCAACAATAGGAAACGTAGGCTTAGCTGTTTTAAAATTACACCAAGTTTATTTCGAATTATTCCAACGGAAGAATACAAGGCGCAGGGAACTTTGAGGTGCGTAAACGCTATTTATAGGTGCGTGGGGACCACTGGATTAGCCTGCCTGCCTACCTGTTCGGAATGGATTACCGCCGGTAATTAGCAATGGATATCAGGCGATATTTGAAGAGACCATCGAGTGCTCCCACTCCCACAGATGCCCGCAAAAGGCATCAAGTACAAAGTAAGACTGAAAAAGATCAATTCACGTTTTTAAACATTGTTTTGGTTCGCACAACATCGCATTAAGACAGGGACAAACGCTATTAATAACGTGCTTTCAAATACGATGATGCAGGTAACAAGCCAGCCTTCCCGGTCCCATCTAAATAGGCCTAATAAAATGAGTAATTATCCTCACGCATATTGCTGCAGATTAGGCTAATTCATTGAAAAATTGTCGACAGATTATGTGCAAGACAGTTAGACATAGCTAAGAGAAATGCTAAGTGAAATGTTTTAGTTTAGCTATAGAATATTGCTAAACTAAAACATTCTTTTGATAACCAATGACCCGTCACCACAATGTGCATATTCATTACAGACTTCTCATACGCCGCAATTGTCTGCTACTGTATAGAAGTACTGCGCCTCCCTTCTTCCTAGTATCTCACAGCCACTGTTAGAGGTGCCATAGTGCCTCCATCTAGTCTTAAGAAGTAGTTACTACCACAATTGTTGATTTCGTGTCCCTCGGGTATTTAATCAATAGTGGTTGCTATGGCCATCCTTGTTCTCGCTTTCCCCTACTGTTAGACAGTCGGCACTACGGTCATTGTCATTCTTCTCTCCCTCACTCAGTTGTTGAATTAACAGTTGTTACTGTAACCATCATTGCTCGCCCCTACTGCTTGACAGTGGGTACTACGCTTATTGTCATTCAATCTGCTGGTAATAGTCAACATTACCCCTACTTTCATATTTCCTGCATTCATCTGCTGGTCACTAACGTCTCAGCTCCTCTGCTGTTTGACAGTTGTTACTACAGTCATCATCAGTATTTTACTTTCTGTCTCTTACCCTAGCTCCCGCCTTCTCCCCTCCTTTTAATCCAATCACACGTACACACTGTTTAGAGAGTAGGTTTATAATCGGGTCATGGGTCGTGTGGATTGTTGGTTATAGATATAATTGATCTTGATTGGTATCTCTGTTAAACTTTAAAGAAAGTTTTTCTTGTGTTTACTTGTACTATACCGGTGGTGACAGCTGGGGTATATATAGTCTAGTGCGCAAACTTAAACCTTGAAAATTCTTTACTCTTAATGAGTGAATATCAATTATGAGACTTGATTTATAGTTCAGGGCTGGCACGTTGGTGTGGTGGTTAGCACTCTCAGTTGATGCCCTGCCCCCTACAGCACATCAGATTCAAAAGTCGACAGTGGAAAAAAAGATCTGAAAGTAAAAATAAGATCTAAGAATCTGCAACTGAAAAATATAATACAGCAATTACCAAAAATATATATAAGTGAAGAATGATAAACAGAACTGAGTCAATCTGTATTTAATCCCAAAAAACGTTTCGTCCAATTTTTTTTATTTGTATTTTTCAATGTTCCAAACTTAAACGTAAACTTTCCGGTTCACATTTGTTTTTCAAATGATCAAAACCGTTGACCTGGATTTGGCTCCATAAACTTTGAGCTGGATTTTCTTGCCGTCCGTTCCATCCAACGCTAAGAACTGTCCCTGGAGCTGAATGCCCCGAAGCCGAGGCTCGGCACAAAGCACACCGCACACAACTGGCCAATGGCAGCAGGAGCTCCCGTCTACAGGCGGCAGTCAGTGCACTCAGTACCGTCTGTGGTCTCTAGTCGAGGTGGAAGAGCCTACTGATAGCCGTCAATGGGTAAACTCAGACAGCTGACACCCTGGAGCGCTGTGTGTGTGTGTAGTCGGTGCTCAGCGTACAGCTCTTGGTGTTTCAGCCCGTTAGAGGAAAGTGTTCGACCCAAGGTACTAAATCGTCCTAAAGCGCAAAGCGTTGAGGAAACGTGATGAGCGCGATCAGAGATTATTTTCCTCTCCTGCTTCTTTTTGTGACAGCCGGGACAGACAGAGTTGCTAAAGGTAGGAAACGCCAAAAAAATGTTTTTTGGAGTGAAGAGCTTTTCAGCCTTTCTCTTTGTTTTGTTGTTGTGGATTTGTATCTTATTTTCCGCCCGTGAAGCTTTCTGTTTTATGCGCTTCCTCGGCTCACTGATCTTCGTGCGAAATACAGTCCTTCATGTAACGAACACATGAACACAGAGATGTGCTATTTCCTGACATTTCACTTAGATAATCGTGATAGCGCACATACGGACTCTTTTCTCGGTCAGAACACGATTTTCTATAATTGACAGGACTGCCACATCATTGTTAAATATATGATTATTCCGTAGTACATTAGCACAACTTTTTACATTTTCAAGAAGAAAAACGTCAAGTGATGAAAATGCAATTTTCCAGCCTGGGATACCAAATGCCGTCATATCTCCGGTGCCCTTGTCGCAAAAGTAGAATGCCTATTTTTGTAGCTGCCACGTGCATTATTCGTATCCCCTAACAAAATAGCAAAGAATGCTACAAAACATGGGTGATGTTAGAGAGTTGTCTCCCTGGTTAGGTGTTGCAATTTTACTTCTGATTTCCCTCTATATGTTCTACTTCCTTGCACTTGAAATGATATCCCTCAGATGATTACAGTATTAATTCTCATTCTGCATAGTCTGTACATCAAAGTGATAGATGACAACTTGAGAAGGATAGAGGTTATTTGAAGACAAACTTCTGTACCTCCAATGCTAGTGAAGGGGGCCAACTGAATAGTATATAAACACACACACGCTAATTAAATCAAATACATTATTGATTGACCTTTAATGGACCAATAGTAACAACATCTAGGTTCTACTTATTGAAAAGGTAGTCCAAAATAAAGGCAGTATTTCTGTAAACTAAATAACGTAACCTAAATGAATGAATATCTGCCCTATGTTTAATTTCGTACCGTCGGAGTGAGGTACTTTGTTTTTGCAGATGGATATCAGCTATGTGCACGAAGAGTGTGTGTACACTTATCTATCATTTCAGATACATTTGACCGTAACTGAACCTGACCATGTGGGTTTTTATAGGAAACCTTTGGAGAATGTAAAAATACATGTTGTGGCTTTGAACAATGCTTCACTTATAACTTACTAGTGGGTATGATATCACCATTTTTCCTATTTTATTTGAACATCAACTGTGCCCCCTGATTAGCCTGTAATAAACCATGCCAGGAACCTGCAGCTTCTTCGTCTGGGTGTTTTACTTCTGGCTAAGATCCAGATTCAAAGCTCCACACTGTCACAGATGCAGTGAAGCGTATTCTTTCAGAGCTTCACTAACACCCAAATGCCTACAGTAGTAAATGCAGTAACTTTGGGAAAGCGAAAAAATTATAGAGAATGTCCTTTTTTAGATTACCGCTGGCTTCTGGAGTGATGGTCGGTAGTTGACCTTGACCTCTGACCCCTCTTGAAGGCTGACATGTTCCCTGCAAGGGAATGCAGAAAAAAACATAGGTGTGGTGCATGTTTTATCCCATTGTAACTATGTTAACGTCTAAAGCATGACATACAGTGGTTCCCATTTTAAAGTATTTCCCCTTCTCTCCAGGCATCCAATTGTTTCCAATAATTTCTATCGCATGAAAAATATATTTTTCATACAGGAAACCTCACTCTGATCTTCCTGTCATACAGCACAAGCCTTTCTAATGAGTATGCTATAGCCACCAAGAGAGACTCAACATAAAAGCAGACTTAATGTTCACTATGATGGCTTAATAGCTCAAACCGAGCAAATTAACATTTTGAAAAAGTTGATTTGTAAACTTTGCAATTGATACAGTAAAATTTAGGAAAACTGACAGAGCGAAGCCAGATATGTGCCGTATATGATAAGGCCCCTTGGAAAACAAGTGCACGGTGCAAAATAAACATATATCCAAAATATGTGCATAAAGACCAGAATAAAAGCTACAGTATCTGCATCAGGTTAGCTGTTTGTTAAGTGTGCCTCTTTGAATGCTATCAGCTTTTTAGATGACCATTGGCAGCAGTTATCAGGCTCCTAGAAAGGGTTTCGAAGGGCCTGGTACAGTAATGGTAAATGGACTGTACTTGTATAGCGCTTTTCTAGTCTTCCGACCACTCAAAGCGCTTTAACACTACATGACATCATTCAACCATTCATTCACTGATGACAGGAGCTACCAAACACAGTTCCACCTGCCCATCAGTAACTAACATTCACACACTCAGCGTGGTTACATGGATTCGAATAACTGGCTTAGTCGGACTGAAATCGAATTATCCGTTTAATGTAAACACCTTTGTCCGACTATGTGCGGTCCGACTACGATCCGACTAACACCCCTGGATAACTCGATCCGATCCAGTTGATAGTTCGACTATTGCGGCATGTAACGGTGAATCGGATAAGAAACTGGACTTTGCGTCTTTGCGCATGCTTAAGATCCCGACGGCGTCTTCTCTCCGTTATCAAATCAGCCAATAGCACCATTCGCATTCGCTGTACTCCTATTAATCTCATGCACAAATAGTAGAGGGATGTAGCTTCACCTTGCTCTCCGTTCGCCATCTTTCTTATAATGTTGATGTTGTTGGTAGTGGTGAAGCGGTCAAGCGGAAATGGCTGTATCACAACTAGTTGTAATGAAAACAGCGCCACCTATCGTATCAGATATGACATGCTTTCGGCCAATGATTCGATTTATTCACTGCCATGTATATTGGGATAATAGCACTTGCCCCGAAAGATAGCATAGTCCGACTAAGCAAAGATTTGAATTATACCATCATGTAAACACACTGACTGTAGTCGCAGCAACAGGAGCAATGTTGGGTTAAGGTGTCTTGCCCAAGGACATATCGACATGCGGGTTAGCCAGGCCTCGGATCGAACCGCCAACCCTATGTTGCGGCACAACAAAAAATTTGTATGGTCCTTGGACATTTACCATTCAGAATTGAATCGATAACGTTTTGACTGGGTCTGGGCATGTTAACGCGAGCACTGGGGGTCGAACCTAAGACTGCTCTTCAAGTTTACATAAACCTGAAAGAGAAAAGAATTGGCATAGGAATGAAGAAAGATACCAAACTCAAAAGACATTTTCATTTTAGATTTTTCCAGATGCCGGAGTTGACAGAACTAAAGTTATTAATAACCTGCATCACTGAAAGTACAAATCTTTTTAGTAAAACCCAGCTGTGTGCTTAATGCTAAACCACTTCCTTTTAACAGGGACAGCTACTGAACATAGCAGTATACGTATATCTATCAATAATCTAAGACAAACATGTTTATGCTGGTACCTGTTAACAAAAATAACTTTCTGTAGAATGTTATGATTGTGATTGGTAACTTGTTTTCCTCTAACAATCCAAATAAAATGTTATTGCCCTGCTAGTAGAAAATAGCTTTGGTTTTGTATTTGATTTGATCACATTAATGTAATGTAATGCTAAACTTAAAGATGTATCTGCTACTGCGTAAATGGAATCCTGAAAAATCACCTTAGTGATACTGCGAGTTATGGTGTAACTAACAGCAACGGTTTTGATGATGTCTTTTGGATTTAGGGGTCAGGTACTCAGTCCCTTTTCATTCAGATTACTCCCCAGATAAATAAATTGGCCCTGGCTGACCCAGAGCAAGTGATGCTCTGTCCCACCCTCGGGGCTGCTTACATTGCCACGTAGGCCTACTGTCATTGTCAGAACTCTGCCGAGAGAGCTGCCTCAAACTCATTGAGCTGTCTGCTGTCTACTGTACAGCTTCTGATTTCCAGTCGGGATCCTGGTGTTGTTTTCACGATCAAGAGTAAATGTGCTCCTGGAGACACCTACTGTGGTAGCTAAAACTACCACAAAGGAGGTTTGAGCACTTTGTGAACACATTTATGACTGTGATAGCGTTGCAATCTGTGCAAGATACTGTCTAAAAGCGATTAGTTAAGGTCAAATGAAAGTTGAGTTCAAGGGTTGGTGCAAGGTGTGGATAAGCTATGCTAAGCCAAGGGTCTTAAACCTGCATGATGAAATCAGATCATGTCCTATTTTAAGTTGCTAATCATCAGTAAAATGTTTTTCAAGGAAGGGGGTGCTATGACAAACAGAGATTCAATTACATTTCATATCTTTCATATATATATATATATAATATATATATATATATATATATATATATATATTCAATATACTTTTTTTTTCAAGTCGCCCTAAAAGCGGGGTTATATATTTGTTACAGGTTTTGAAGAGAATATTATTGAATATATTATTGAAATATGAATGTTTGAATAATGGTTACATTAATCAGGGATTAAAAAAATATGTTTTGACAAATTAATCCAAACATAATCATTATATTCGGCAAGGAACCAGGAGACATGTGTAAACACTCATAAGTTATCTTCGCAGTTAAGATCAAGCATTTGGAATTTGTATGAATTTTCCTTCTCAGAATGTAAAATCCTCATGTCACACTGCCCTGCTTTCAAACACATATATATTAGTTAGGCTGGATTAATTGAAATGATGGGTAGAGTGAGAACTTTTAAGCGTTTAAGCTTGTCAACCTGCTGTATCGATCAGGTGTGGGATCTGAAAGGACCTTATCAGTTAGATGCTCCTCCTGGGCCCTGTCAGTAAGACAAATGCACTCACTATTTCCACTGGCTTTTTTAGATCTTAATCACACATTGTGCTCGTAGTAGTTCACACAGTGAACAGGTTAAAAACAGCGACTAGCTTGGCTGTAGACTGTTGGGCGTGTTTACTCTTAACAATATCATGCTCTGTTTTTAGGCTTCAAACTGTTGTGTTCCATCTTATAGCTCCCCAACCTGAACCGGGTCGAACTAAACTTGTGTATTTACCAAGGCACAAAAAAGAAGAGGAAAGGATCAGTTACATTCATGTACAAACCGACAATCATAACTGGCAATTTCCAATGGAGGCCTGGCAATAAAACAAAATGATGCAACATCTGTGAACTACTCACAATGCCCTAGCACA